CCGCCCCCAGTCTTCACCGGGATTAAGGCTCTTTGTGACTGGGGAGGTGGGGGAGAGAAAAAAAGCGACCTGGTACAAAGCAATTATGACAAACTGGAGGGAGAATGTCCTGGGGCCTGGGAACCTCCCTCTGGTCTCAACTGCCCAGAGCTGGGGGTGTGGGGCTCCAGTCCGCACGGAGAGGGGGGTGACCCCTCCCACCGCATCCGCTCACACTCCCCTCTGCTCCCAGTTGGGCTAAACCAGGCCCCTCCACTCCCCCGCGGTCCCGATGTTTAGGCCCTTCGCGGGAGAAGCGGTGTCTTTCATCTTTTCCTTCTCTTTCCACACTCCCCTTCCCCATGTCTTCTCGGAAAGAGGGAAACTGAGGCCGGGGTCCCTGCGCAGCAGAAGGACTGGGGAGGGTGCTCCCCTCGGCGCGGACTGGGGCTTGGAGAGACCTGCAGGGGAGGGCCTCCCCCTGGACAAGACTAAAAGCCAGGCGGAGGGGGCCAGAGGCGGCTTTTATGGCCTCTGCGCTCCAGCCCCGAAGGGCGCACCTGGGGCGTCGGGGAATTAAAACACCACGTGGGTGTTCTAAAAAAAACCTCAAACCTAGAATTTATTATAAAAGCCAAAGAGTATAAGGGGCCCTAAGCAACTGACAGAAGCAAATGCAATCTCCTCTGGAGAAACCCAACTTCATTATCCTGGACTTCAAACATTTCCCAAGATACAGTTCTGAGAGAAATATGCAGTTCACTCCCACTCACTCACATATAAACAACAAACAAGGAATTAAAACACCATGAGCAGAGCAAGCCTATTTTTAAAGGCCCAGACAGAAACTTGTAATAAATATTATTAGTAGAAACAAAAAATGCCCCGCGAGCGGCCCGCCAGTCACCGGTGCGGTTTGGGGGTTGGATCCGTGCCCCCCTCGCCCCCTCAGAGCAGCCGTTTGCGGGAAAATGGTTTTATTCTGGGGCTGGGAGCCGGGGCTAGGGGTGCAGGCCTGGGTAGTGGAATGTGAAGAACGGTCAGCCTCTTTTTTCTCCTTTTTTCTTTTTTTTCCTGAAACAAAATCGAAAGTCCCTTCCCCGGGGCTGGCCAGGAGGAGCTCGGAGGCGGGGGCGGACGGACACCGGAGCCAGGCTG